CTTTTGTGATCCTCATGGAGTTCAACAAGGCCAAGTGCAAGGTCCTGCACATGGGTTGGGACAATCCCAAGCACGACTACAGGCTGGACGAGGAATGGATTGAAAGCAGCCCTGAGGAGGAAGACTTGGGGGTAGTGATTGATGAGAAGCTCAACATGAGCCAGCAGTGTGCGCTTGCAGCCCAGAGAGCCAACTGTGTCCCGGGCTGCATCAAAAGAGGTGTGACCAGCAGGTCAAGGGAGGTGATCCTGCCCCTCTACTCCGCTCTCCTGAGACCCCACCTGGAGTACTGCGTCCAGCTCTGGGGGCCCCAGCACAAGAGAGACATGGAGCTGTTGGAGCAAGTCCAGGGGAGGGCCATGAAGATGATCAGAGGGCTGGAGCACCTCTCCTATGAGGACAGGCTGAGAGGAAAAGGTGGCTCCAGGGAGATCTAATTGCGGCTTTCCAGTATCTGAAGGGGGCCTGCATGAAAGATGGTGAGGGACTGTTTACAAGGGCATGTAGTGATAGGATAAGGGGGTAATGGGTTTAAGCTGAAGGAGGGTTGATTTAGATTAGATGTTAGAAAGAAATTCTTTACTGTTAGAGTGGTGAGGCACTGGAACAGGTTGCCCAGAGAAGTCCATACATGCCCCATCCCTGGCAGTGTTTAAGACCAGGTTGGATGAGGCTTTGGGCAACATGGGCTAGTGGAGGGTGTCCCTGCCCATGGCAGGGGGTTGGAACTAGATGATCTTTGAGGTCCCTTCCAACCGAAACCATTCTACAATTCTATGAATGTATTCAGGTCACTGATTATGACATCAAAAAATTACACTTTGAAGAATACTCTTATTTAAGGCAACAGTCCAATTATCAAAGGCAGTACAAGAATTTGTAAAAAAAAGAAAATTATTGGCAGAATTCAAATCTGCAGATGCAAAATCTGGATTTTTTTTACAATATCCTCAAAACTGTGCATACAAAGAAGGGCAAAGAAGCTGGTGAAGGGTCTAGAGAACAAGTCCTGTGAGGAGCAGCTGAGGGAACATGGATTGTTTAGCCTAGAGAAAAGAAGGCTGAGGGGGAAGACCTTATTGCTCTCTACAACTACCTGAAAGGAGGTTGTAGACACGTGGGTTGGTCTCTTCTCCCAGGTAAGAAGTGATAGGACAAGAGGATATGGTCTTGAATTGTGCTAGAGGAGGTTTAGATTAGATATTACGAAAAATTTCTTCATCAAAGGGGTTGTCAGGCATTGGAACAGGATGCCCAGGGAAGCAGTTGAGTCACCATCCCTGGAGGTGTCTAAAAGACATGTAGATGTGGCACTTAGGGACATGGTTTAGTGGTGGACTTGGCAGCACTAGGTTTACAGTTGGACTTGATGATCTTAAAGGTCTTTTCCAACCTAAATGATTCTATGATTCTATGAAACATCTGTGAATATCCAGATCTCTTTCAACATTTTCTTAATCTTAAGAGCTGCAAGACATGACTTGTACCACTGCCCAAGACCAGAAGCAAAGCAGTACAGTTATGCTCCATCCCAGAATTAAAGCCCAGGAAAGAATTTAGTGAAAAACAATTTAGTCAGAGCTCTCGAATCTTCCTGTGGACATAGGATGTAAACCAGGAAGAGGTGGAATGTAACAGAAACAGGGCAGTTGTGAAAATAATCTGCCAGAGGATCATGTAGGCATGGACTTGCTTTTTTCTCTCTCCCCTCCTTCCTTCCGTCCAACCCAACCTCTTGCATACAGGGTTGGAAGAAAACCGGCAAAATGTAAGCTTTTACTTCTATACCACAGACCCCATTTGCCACCTTCTTGCTTTGGTCCGCAACATAAACAGAAATCTTAGCCCTATTACCTTCCTATGCAATACAGCACACCTCTTCATAAGACTGAGAATTAAAAAAATTCCAACCCATCTTTACACGTATTTTAGGAAGAACTTAGAGCTCTAAGAAGTGACCTGCGAACTATACAGAGCACAAAACAACAGAAACCTTTTCAAATACAGATAATTTCAAAGACCATTAAACAAGCAACTTAAACAGTCATGAAGAAAGAAATGCTTGCAAAGAAAGTATCATCACCAAGCAGAGAAAAACTCCTTTATAAGCCTACTAGCAAATTAACTCCATAAACACATGGAAAGCAGAGAGCCTCAAGAGAAAACAAAGCAGCTCAGGTTACTGGACACTAGCTTGAAAAAAAAAAAAAGGAAGTTGAAAATATGGAAATAGAAATAACTGAAACAATCAAATATTTAGAATTGCCAGGAACATTGTTATTTTGGTGACATAATACACATTTTTCTGAAACTGTGACAAGGAAAAATGCTCAGGTTTGATCAACGCTTTTTCAGTAACACTAATACACACGTATTGCTGCAGTGAAATGGAAAAGTTGATTAACACCACTGAGCAACACTACATAACATGCTAGTACACCGAATGAAAAAACCCACATTTATAACTATTTGCCAAACAGCATTATGAAGCAGTATTTAGGAAGCTTACTTAGTAAGTGACTGTGCCTTCTGCTGTAGAAAGTTCTCCCTTTGCATTTTAACTGTATGAATACTTTTCTTGTCCAAAAATTTGGCAGCAGCTGGTATCTTCTGAATCAGGAAGTTGTCAGCAAACCAGATAATGTTAGCAGTTAATGTGATGGCTGGTACCTGGGGTAAAAAAAAAAAAAAGAAAAAGAAAGAAAAAAGGAGGGAAAATATTACAAAGTAGCAATAAACATAAGTAACTACAACAAACACTATGCCACCATGCCTGTTTATGTCTCTCTGGAACCACAACACACAATTCAGTTTATTTCTGCATAATTAGTTTCTACAAAGTATTACATTCATGTTAAAAAGGCTTCTCCCCTAGAAGTCCACTAACGATACCACAGGCAAAGTTATTACCACTCTCAGTGATTCCAAACAGTATTAAAGAATTTAATTATTTCTTAATACCAACTGATGTGAAAAAGCCCCAGTCACCTTTGGGCTTAGAGGTCCTTCAAAATACATGTTTATAGGCAAGGTCAAAACCTACTGCATTTATTCAGTACCACAATACTCAATTTTTTGTCCTCACTGCCACATTAACCTTGAGAAGAAACATTTTAATGGTAATTTCAAGTTATTTTACCTTACTGCTAAGTGAGTGTACAGGTTTTGGATCATCTTCAAAAGAAAATGGCAGGGTAAAGAAGGGGGACAGAGGAAAATTTAAAAAGTAGAAAAATCTTAATTCTGCTTTCTGATTTGTTTTGGTAAATTGTGTGGTTTTTCTTTTCTCAAGTCTGTGCTACGCAACTAAGAAAATTATCTACTTCATTACAGAAGATTTTTCCCCCTCTTAATTATTGACAAAAGAATAAAGCATTCACCTTTTTACAGACATCCAACAATGACTTGTAAAATTTCTTGTCTATGGTCCGAAAAATCTGAAAATGCAGTACAAAGAGGCCACAAATGCCCACGTATTTATCTCTCTGGTCAATTTCTGAAGGTTCGCCTGCAGAAATACACCTTTTTTGAAGTCTGCTCCCAGACAAACAATACAAACAATTTTAGAAACAGTGAAGCTGGCAGAAGCAGCATGAGCTTGCATTACCAAGTTTAGCTTCCACATTTGCAAAAGCTGTGCGAAGAGTATGAGCAAATTCTTCAGCAAACGTGCTGTTCTTCGACACTGACACTCCGCCATTTACAGAATCAAACTGTTGCTCTATACAGGCCTGAGCAAAAAGGGAAAAAAAGTATAATGATAATGCCATGGATTTTGGACCTTAAAAGAATACTGATTTTGCAAGAGAAGAATACTGCAAAACCAAAATGATTTAAGACTAACCTCAAGTTAGTCTTAAACTTCACAACATACAGGTTTTTTAACTATGCTTAAATTTAGTATAATAACAGAAAATATTAAAAACTTCTCTTATACCTACATTCAAAAAACCCCATTTTATTTACTTCAAGCAGTTTCTTTAAAAATGCCCCTTAACAGAAATGTGATGTGCTAGTGATAAGAAACTAGATATGTATTCACATTATTACATTATAATGTTACTAACTATCCACTAACTAAACAAGATTACCATGGAAGTCGCTTGTAGGATGTAGTTCATGAACTTGGAGCATAAAATCCCACACCACTGGTAGCGGTTTAAAAAAAAATAAAAATACCAAAACCCCCACAATAGTCAAAAAATAGACACACACTTCAGATTTTCTAAAGATATTAGAAAAGTCTTTAATGGAATTGTATTTAAGAATATTTTTCCTTTTGGAGGCTTTTACAGATGCAAGTCTTACATAGATACAAGAAACATAAGATGAAACATGGATAGCTCATAGGAATGTCCTTTGAAAGAATAAGCGAAATTGTGTTTAGTTATTTAATTTCCCTTTTGGAGGCTTTTACAAGCCGTAAGAACTGAGCAACAGTCCTGTTCAATTGACTCTGCTGTGACCAGTTTCAGCCAATGCTATCCTCTGCCCACTATGCCATAACATCTGATTTTAGGGTCTCATATACACGCTTTTCAGGAAAAAAGGATAGCTTCTTGAACACATTTAAGTTAACTGTATTGAAAAAGTAGCTAAAAAAGTGTACCTATGCTACGTAAGCCTGACCACTATTAAAATTTTTGGTGAAAAACGACTCCCTGATAATACACTGTCCTAATGCCAAGTTGCCTGTGTTTCTTTAATTCTGCAGAACAGTAAGCATTAACTGCTACCATTCAAAGCCTGGCACAGTTCTAGCACACGAGAACATGAGAAGAGCAAGGAAGGATCTTACAATAGTGCCTTTTTTCCCCCCCTCCATGCACAGATGCGAGAGCCAAATTCACACATCACTGTATCCAGAAGAAAACAAAATGAAAATCAAACAAACTATCCTAAAAAGAGGGTTGCTTTAATGCAACAGTCCCCCTTATCATACTGGGGAATATTACTTTTATTACCTGAAATATCATTCCATCGAATAACTGGCATTCCAGTTTTAACAGTAGCTTTTCAAATGGCTTCAGTTTATCTTCTTGAATCCCAAACTTAGAAGGGTTGTGATGGACAGATTTTAGCAGCCTGTAAGGAGTAGGTGTGGAACACATACATACAACACAATCAAAACATGCTAACAGTTTTACCATATCCTGTACCACTTTGATAATAGATTTTAATTGCCCACATATGTGCCCAGCAGCAACTCCAAAATTAAAAAAAAACACAACAAACAAGCCACTAGGTCTGTATAAGCCATTTGCATTTAAATAACTCCCATTTATTTAGGTTTTCAATAAAACAGAGTTATTTTTCCACTAATTTAACTACCTTTATAATTGTTGACTCTTCAGCTTTTACTTAAGATAGAGTTCTTACTTAAATCTGTATGCCCTTCCCCATGATCAATATGGATAGGGATAGTCTTTTATCAGATTTCTTACTGAATATATTTTAAACCCCATCAATCATTACCCTGTCTGTCAAGATGCTTACCATGTATTGTAAATGCAACATTCAGCACTTAAACTTACTGGTGCTGTTTGAAGGACACAGTGGGATCTTAGCCCTGCTCTCCACTGAGATTTCTGGAAAACTCTCAGGGTTACCAAAATCCATGTTCCCACACTGACTTTCTTCAAAGACACATGCACATATTTTTATCTTTTATTTTTCACACCTTCAGAGACACACCTCTTATACATGGTCCAGTGATCTTTCAGAGTGGCATGATTGTCAATTATTTCATCCAGAGTGATTAAGACTGTGAGCAACTCTCCCAGATGCTCATACATTGCCTGTGAAGAAAAAAAAAAAAAAGGACTGTAGTTATTGAAAAGTTTATTGCAGTCATGTATTATCAGCCAACAAGACATCAGCTAGAGAGTTAAATTGGAGATTTCTTGGTTTGGTAGCTTAAAAGCTTTAGTATTTCTCGTAGTGACACAAGAAACATTAGTTTGTGTACAGGCATTGCTTTAAGTTCACTGGTCTATTCAACATTGAAGGTAGGATTTTTTTAAATTGTCTGCACACAGAAGCACACATTGCACACAATAAGGGAGCGTGCAAACACTTTTCAGCTAAGAAACCTAGAATATGAGAGACATTGAGATACCAGCTCTTTCCACATAAAGGCCAAAAAAAAGCTGATTAACAAAATAAAACCATTAAAGATATTCCAGATTGAAAGCTGTACTTGAAACTCACTTTCTTGCTGCTTTTCTCAGGATTAATGATCAAGACATACATATATTAACATAAGCAAAAGGGCTCTAAATCATTCCCACCTGAAAATGAACTCCAGATGTCTCTATAATTTTAGGTGCATTCCTGTAAATAAAGTAAATATTTTAATGTCTTTTTAACCCTTAGAACAGAGCATATTTATCAATTCTGTATCACGGTGTGTTCTTTGTTTCTTGGGGTATATTTTTCTTCATTAACACAGTAACTTCAGAAAACAAAACAGCCTCAAAATCTGATTAAAAGTATACACTATGTGAAATCTGTATGCTATGATCAAATTTAATATTGCATTTTTAAATGTACAGCATGTGACTGATTCAAACCACTGACTGCATTCAGTGCACATGTATATCGCCAATTCCCAATTCAGTTATGCTAACAGCAAGTAGCCTTGATACGTACAGCCTTGTGGCCCAAAAGTACAAAATCACTTCACATACTTAATCAAGCCATGTCCAAGCTACACATCCAGCCTTGTTCATTCAGCACCATATCAAAAGTCTACCTTGTACTGTAGTGTAAGACAAAAATGAAAACAACAAATAAAACTGAGAAGAATGATGCTATCCTGTCTGAGGGGAGAGGGGGAAAGGAATCAAGAGCCCTGCAGCTATATTCAGAGCTAAATCAAACAATTCTATTCAGAGCTAAACTCTCCCCATTTTTCAGAGGAGATAAACCCAACAACCCTTACTGAGCTCAACTTCAGGTGCTAAAACCACAGTTGCTCTGTGAGGAATATATACCAAGATTTACATATTTAAAACATTAGACTGTGAAAGTGATCTGATTTTTAAGCTACTGGTATCCACTGTATCAGTCAATGGAAGGAATCTCTCTCTCAAAAAGAGAAAGGATGAAAGAGGAATAATATCTCTAAATCATAAACACTAAGTCCCTCTGAACCATCAATTGTATCAAAAAATGACCAAAAAAATCTTGCATCTCATTATATAAATGCACTGCCTTTTCTGAAAATAAAACAAATCCACTTCTGTAATGGCTTATGAAGACCAAACTTGCACAGCAAAGCACTCTCCATATCTCTAGACAACAATATCCCAAAACCAACCATGCCTTAGACAGAACATTCATATTTTATACATTTGTTTAACTACATAAAAACAATGTAGCATTTCAGGGAATAGTTACTTGTTGCTGGTATAGAGAACTGCCAACTGATGCACTACATTCACCACCACTTCATAGCATCGGGTAACAAAGCAAGACAGCTCCTGAAATACAATAAAATAAAATGCATATGTAAATATAGACCTTCCTCATACACAAGTTGTCATTACATCCAACATGCTGAACATAAACCACTGAACCTGCAGCCCAAGCTCCAATTACATCCCCAATCCAAGTCAGCGGACAGACCTACAGCAGGATGGAAAACATCTTACTAAGAGCTCCGAAAAAGTATCCAGGACTAAGCTAAGAAGCTACTGAACACAAACTTCCAGTACAGCTTGGACTATTTATACTATTGGTTCAATTTATCAAAAGACAGTAAGAAGTGACTTGACAAGAGTGCCCAAGTATTTTCAGAGAGAATATCCCTGATAGCAAAGGCTGTGCCTTTCCCCACTAGATTCAAGAATCACGCTCTGGGAGCTGGTGACAGCCAAATTCAAATCAGAAATTAACACAGAAGCCTGTACCTCCCACAAGAGCAATAAGCCACAGAATATTGCTTTCAAAGAAACATGACAATGTCTCTGAGGTATGCTTGACTAAAGCAGGACTTGAGCTCAGCTACATAGTACAACATGAGTAACAACAGGTCAACTCTGACCACTTAAAGGACTATCTTAACTTCTATAATGGATTTTAACAAGGCATCCCTTGAGCAATCGGACAAATGAATTTGAGTTTCCCTTAACGGCAGTAATATTTGCTCATTAATGCACTATGGTGTATTAATCCCATCAGAGAAAAGTCAGCATGTGATGAGTCTAGCCAGTCAGCACACAGATGGCTTCACAGCAGACACAGCCCACACTGGCTAACCAGCCAGACTGCCGTTCCTGCCAGAAGACTGGCTAACAGCTGAATTCTGTCTTCCTCTCCATCAAAAATAGATCTTATTTGGGCTTCTGCCTTCTATTAGTCACCAGTTTTCACAAAACATGAAAGTGTCATTACTTCTTATACTTGTATTGCTCTATCAAATGCAGCTGAAACAAGCCAACAGATTCCAAAAGAATGGATTAATAGACAATCGAGATCATGTTTCCTGGGGAAGGGGGACCAGCTGCCATTTTAAAACTTCCAGGAAATAGTCCTATTTAACAGCACATGCATATTAGCAGCTACACAATACAGATGAGATTATCATAGTATCAGAGTTCTTCAAATACATTGTCTTCCGCAGGATCAACAGTACCTAACTTGTGCTTTACAGCACTACTTTGATAATTTTTAAGAAAAAATGTTTTGACACAGCAAATTTGAGGCTATTACATCTAGTTAATCAATAAATACTGAACTCAGAAGAGCCAATAAACCAATACATGGAGATAAGCTCTATGAAAGCAGTATTGCACCTCTTTTGTCATCTTCATTGATATTTTCACACCACCCTTGGGGATATGCTTATAACATTGATAAGAACAGCATTTCCCTGACTATGGATACAGACTACGACTGAGTGGATTTAGGGGAACACAACAGTTGAAAAAGAACAAACTCAATAAGGAAAAAGTTTTCCTCATAGCTTTACCCAAAGCAACACAAACCCGTTAACACAGTTACTTTCCCTTTGGGGCAACATCCTGCATCTCCCTTCTTTCTCAAGTTGCTCAACAATCAGCAAGCTATTGTAGCATACATACAAAGTGGGCTTACAAGTAATACCGCTGTATTTTTGTGTAGTGTTTACCCTATAAATATACACATCAGCATACACCCCACAAATAAACATAAACTTGTTCTACAAAGTGGGTCTGCAATGCACACAGACATCCAAACAGCCAGTCACCCCGCTCTCAACTTCCACCAGGACAGAGTATCCTGGCGGGGGGGAGAAGTCTGGAAAAGCACAAGTGTACAGTAGCCCCATTTCAGAACCACTAAGACATCTCAAACATCTGCTCAGTAAGAAATGGAAGATGAAGGAAGAAACTGACAAAGTTGATAGAATAAAAAGCTTCAAAAATAGGGAAAAAACCCCCAAGATATCCTAACAACTAATTGCATGGTAAAAGAGGTTGAGAAACAACTTCCTATAGCATTCAACCTGTTATGACTCTGTAAATTACTACTGCCATGCTAGTATCCAGCAAGAACAGGAATTTTAACCTTTGTTAAACTAGAATTTGTTTAAACATTCTGGAAGCTTCCTGTATATTCTCTACTTCAACACAGATATTACAAGCAATACTGCATAAAAATAGAAACATTTTTGGAAGCAGGACAATCACTTAAGCTATACTAAAGAGAAAAAAATTCCACAGTAGACTGAAACCTAAGAGCACAGGAAATCCTAAGAACAAACACAGATCCTGTTTTCACGCAAAGGACCCTGATAACCAAATTGTTTAAGAAATGAGTGTTCTTCCCTGAAAATTTGAGTGAGGCACAAAATTTCTTTCCAGGTGCATGTTTTAATTTGCTTTCTTCTATCAGTTAAAAAAAGATGTATAAACAATTAGCCACTCCCAAAGTTCAATGAAAACTAAAACTTGCTAATCAAAACCATAAATACCTTTAACTTTGCCATCAAATGAAACAACTTCAATTTAGCTTCTTCTCTTACTGAAATTTTAAGTAAATTCTAATTTCTTCGAACAATGATTACACAAACTGCAATTTCTTCTCTCCATAGACTTCCAGAGTTTTAGATAAGTATAACAAAAACCAAAACGATGTGTGACACATCAACTGGTTGTGACAGGTCTGCAGGCAAAACATAGTAACCTATTAAATGACCTCAATGCCTTTCAGCAAGATGCAAGCAGGATGCAAGCAGGATGATGCAGACTGTTAAATCCACTTTGCAAGTAAAATTAAGATTATAATTGCTGTCAAAAAAAGCCCCGAAAACCAAAAAACCCACAACATACTCTACCTGCAAGAAAGAAACAAATCTTCCCATCTGTATTTGGCAATCTCCCTCCACCATGCTGGAGTCTGTGGCTTGAAAGACAAACATTTGTCACTACTTTCAAAAGCCTATGTAAGACCTGTTAAATTAACATTGAAGCCTGCTCTCCAAGCCATTTGTTTGCCATACAAGTGGAGCACATTATTATAAGCACACTGATGGAGTCTTAAAAACTTTTAATTTTGCTTTTCTAAGCTGGACTTATTTTTGAGGTTTCTCATTAAAATTACATTGTTTACAAGTTAGACATAAAGCAGGAAAAAAGTCTCCATCACCTGAAAGAAAATATAGAACATGAAATGTAATTATTTAAAGGCATGTATATTATGTAACTTAATATAAAAGTTTCTATTTTTAAGTTTGTATGAAAACACTGGGTACTTATATTGCAAGGAACATCCTTGGTAGTTATTTACTGAAAGAATATACTACATCATTAATCAGAAAAAAAAATTGTGTAGTATACAATTTCCTCAAGAAATTGATTTTTCTTTTTCCTACATGCCATCCTGCACAAAAGAATCAGCTCATCACCATAGCTTCAAAGTGTACTGTGTCATATAGTTAACGCTAACAGGATACTATGAAATACAATAATTACATCACCAATGCCAAATTGTTTCAGTCAGCTGGAGCAATTGTAATACTACCTAACAAAATACAGTCTTTTTAAAGTGATGACAGATTAATGCTCTAGACCTGAAATTTTTCTATTGGGCCACTCTGAGCAAAAACGGTTTATGATTGCAAGTGTACCTGCATAAGAAATTGGTTCATAAAATGTGTTCCTTTAGAGTGGTCACCAGAGACTAAAGGAGTCTCCATACTTCTGTAAGATGGAGCTCTGGGACAAGATTCTAAATATGGCATGCTTCCCCTTTACATATTTTATGTAACCTTTACTCTGTTTAGTGGATTGGGTTTTTTGGGACATACAATTAACCATTTAACATTCCTAGACTGGCCCTAGCCACTCTAAGAACAAAATGAAAAAAATGTTTCTTTATACAGAAGGAAAAGGCCAGCACAGTATTTGTTTCAACTGTCTTTGAGCCAGTAACTTTGCCAGCTATTCTGAAGAAGCAAGCTTGCTGTTATCAAAGCAGATGCTACACGGAGGGATATGGAAGTGGAGAATGTAATTCTGCATCCCCACCTAACCCAAAGGAGGTTGACCTCTCAGTTCCTGCCATTCTCAAGCATTCCTTGCAGAAGACCCATCAGGAACAAACTGCTGCTGTAATATGTTAATCTGCAACAGTCTGACTTTTTTCATGCTGGAGACAGGGAGAAGTTTTAAAGGATTCTCTAGTATCGTTTTGGCAGCACATCACTTTGTTTTAAGATATTTAAAACCATGTCTGATAAGAAGTGAGAATCTGCCAAGAAAAAAAAAACTACTACAAACCCCACACTTTTTCATCTTTCTGAACTGAACCACAGCAGTCATATAGCACTTAAGAGTGATAAACAGTCTCTATCGCAAAGATTTCACATTCCTCAGTACTTCTGTCACAGTCAAGACTCTTGAAAAGCTTTAAAAAAGCCCTTTTCCAAGACTACTATGAAAGGGCCTTCCCTTTCTCTTAAATTTCAGAAATAGAAAATAGGTGATACGTCTCTAAATCAACTCATTAAAATATTCAGTCTTCAGGACCAAGATCTGTGCTTATTCCCAGACCAGCATCCCTTATGGCAGAAGCTTAAGACGAACCCTTCAGAGGAGTTACCAGTTTAATTCCAAGACAAAAAAGCAGCTTTCACCTAAAGCAAGGTCTCATGATTTGTCAACTGAATTGACTTACACTCTCTTGTGCCCCTGTATTATGTCATGTTCTAAACATTAGTATGAGTACTATTACCCGCGCTTGAAGGGCAGATGACATTAACACACTGCAATTTCTCTTGGAACAACTACAATTCCATAAGTAAAGTAGGCAGGACTTGGTCCAAATTATTTATTAATGGTTTCAATGTTGTATTACAATCAAATTTAAATTTATTACAACTAATGTAAGGTCTAGTCCCAGTAGGAAATAAGTTGGTTTAGGGTGTCTTTGCATGTGAAAAACAGGTTTTCAATGCCATATTTTCAAAAACTGCTGCTATAGTATATACACTCAGGTTTCTGTATGTTACACATTAAACACAACCTCAACAGCCCACACTCCCTACTTCTCATGTAAATAAGGCTACAACAAAACTTCTTGTTAATGTAAAAGAAATCTTACAGTTATCTTACGCTAACTCAGGACAGTTACAAGACACTAACATATATGCTTAGAACATCAAAGTCTGTTATTTGGTCTTCATCAAAGACAGAGAAAGCATGTACCCGTACTATAAAATTACACTTACTGTAAGCACTTAGTATAACCTGAAACAATAACATAAAACTACAAACTTTTACAGTAAAGGGAGCTACTTACCTCCTTCTCCATAAAACAAGAGGCCATTATAAAATTTAGTTTCTGCCTAACAACAAAAGCAGAAATTTGTTTTTTAATAAATAGGATACATGTAATCATGCTATAAAAATTATTTAGACATTTTATTTTTTCTTTACTGCTAAAAAATAAATTTATATATCAGCTTGCCAATCTGCAAACATTGTCATACAGAGTAATAGGAGACAGCTGAATTTACCTCATATTTTAACTTCTTGATTTCACAGCAAAGGGCAGCATACACAGTTATTACTTTGTTTAGAACCTAGATTCAAAGGGGAAAAAGACACACAGATTACAAATAGATTCACATTTAGAGAGCTTGATTTTAGCTAGAATAACTCTTTGATATGTTTTTACTTTTAAGCATAAAGCGCTCACCTTGTTTTCTGTCTTTATGAGCTCCAGTAGGGAGGACTGTTCATATGGCAAAAGCTAAATTTAAAAAAAAAACACAAAACACCACAAAACAAAATCAAACAAACTTTAGAAAATATTGGTTAAAAATACTTTTATCCAACTAGGTAAGTAATTTCTTTCCCCAGTTTAATCTCAATAAAGGTCAGTAATAAAGAGAGCAATAATTGCACATTACTGGCAACCTACGCTGCAGGAAACCTTCAGTCTTCACATTTACATGGAAACATTTGCCTTTCTGCCTAAAGTGAAAGGAAAGGCAAGTAGATACACTATATAGCATTTACAGAAATTTACTTACAAAACGTGGAAAGCAAAGCATGGTCATTATGGTATACGTAGAAAAAACAGCTCAAGAAACCTAAAACATGAATTAAGAATCCCAAATGCAGGAAATAGTGTATATCTGTATGCAGGCACTGACATGTACTGAAGTCAGCCATGATAATGACTAGTTCATGTACATTCAGCACTTGTGCTGGCCCTACGCATAATTTATTCAAATTATTCAGACAGATGATTTAATTAAGAGTGCATCTTCAGCACAGACAAGTTCCATATGATTAACAAAAGCATTTTAAAATGATATCTGCAAATTCAGTAAAGAGAAAAAAGTAATGCTCCACAGAGGACAGAGAACTCATGACCAAGGAAACAGCCACCTCTGGAGGACAGAAAATACTGTACCAAGGCTATTAAGTACAAAAACACAACTACAAACAGTTCACACTGCAGTTATACAAGTATTAGTGAGCTCTTCTGGAACCCCAACCCCCAGATAAAGACACCAACACCCACAGGGAAGAAGTTTGCTAGAATTAGGCTTCCCAACACATGAAGAACTATAAATTCACTTAACTTCCACTAGTATCCAGAAGACTGGAAAAGAATAATATGAAAAAAAATCTTCTCTTATGATATGCACCAATTTATTAATTACTTGACAATTAAAATAGTATTGGATAGGTTTCTCAAACACAAAAGGCAAAATTTTACTAGCACAAGTGGATCAAGTTTTACTTCTCAGGTTTTGAAGAGAAGGACGAACAAGGAAAATAACAGTTGCAATACATATTTAATATATAAAGACCTTTAATGCAATGGGATCGAGACTGAAGTCCCAAACATCTCCAACAGAGTCATCCAAAGCATCTTCAATTCTCTTCAGCTGAGATGTATATTCCTCAAGAAATTTTCCATAATTCTTCAACTGCACTTCAGCATGAATTTCTGAGAATTTATAACATTTGTAGTTTTATTGACTGTTCAGTAAACTGCAATATCAAATATTTTATTAAAAAATATTTAATCTGTTGCTATTTAACTTGTAGTACTCTATTCCTCATTTTGCTGCAGCATTTTTCCTTTAATACAAAGTTCTTATTTGTTTAAAAACAATCATACAACTCAGTGTTAGTTTAAAAGAAATCCAAATACCACTTAAAGAATATCAAACATCTAAGGAGTTTGCAGAAAATTATGTTAAATATTTACATATATTTTCAAACTCTGATCTTAACAAACCTGATGATCACATCAAGATGCTGAGCAAAGAAAATCTAACACAGCAGGTGATTCTACCCATCGGCTGAACCAGTCCATACGCAATTATATTAGAACTTTGAGGCAATGGGCCTAATCATTTTGGTCTGAGTAGCAGTTGTATCAGTAGCAATCTGCCTTCCTCTCTCTCCCTGCTACCTCTCTCTGAGTCATTTGGGCATTACATGGGAAGTTTTTGGCTTTCAATCATTCCCCCCACTTGCAAATTCACCATCTTCAAGCACAACTTTCCTTCTGCTTAGCACCTGGACATTGAAATGCACAGCTATCCTGTTAATTGCTGGGGCAAGTAGGTTATTATGTTCAAAAGGTAACATTCAACTGGTCAATCATCAAGAACAGCGGCATTAATTAGCAAAGTAAATCTAACGACAACTGGTCCACAAAAGTTTCATTCACTCTATTCTATCCTGATCTTTTTTCTTGTCACCTTAAGACCCTCCCTCCCCTCCCAATTATACACAATTACTGACTTAGTTGCATAATCTGAACTACAGACTCAATGATTACAGCTCAAGGCTTCTATGCTCAGTAAGGAAGTACAATCCTTTTTCATGTGAAGACTGAAGTGTCTTCCCCATAATTAGATAACAAATCTAATAGCTTGCGATCATCTACTATTTGTTGAAAATAGCATTATCTAAAAAAGTGAGAGAATGAAAGTCAGCTGAACAACTGAAATTTTCCTAAACAAGAAGTCTCATGTAGCTTTAGATGTGCTCTTTTCACATTTCAGCAGATAGGCTGCTCTAGAAAGCTAAAAAAATTTATATTCTTCTATTCTGCATGTTTAACAGAGCCAAATGGTAGTTGATGGCTATTTCAGTGGAAGAGCACTGCTGAATCAATTATCACTTAGACATTTTTTGGAGAAAAAGAAAATATTTGACTGAGACACTGCACCAGGCCTACGGAGAGGAACGTATAAGGAAAAGATGAAAAAAGGACTACGTACAGGAAGGTTGAGACTGAGAAGGAAAAGTGACTGTAGTGAAGTCCTGTACTAATTCTAAGTTACTACTTTCAAGCCAGCAGCAATGCCAACCATAACGGCACATGGACCACAAAGCCTATCCAAGAAGCATGGTAAACTCTCCCACATTAAGTTCTGCATTAGTCCCACTGGGTTCTGCCCGTACCTGCAGCCTAAACATTGCATAGGCACTGTCAAAATAAGGCGACTGAATTTCACGTAAACGGATAAACAGCAAGCGAACAAAAAACCCCTCCATCAGCAGTATGCACTCCAGAGTCTGACATGCAGCCCTTGGGTTGTATCATCATGTGATTCTACTCCATCGAATTCATCTCATGTTTCAGGTTCCTTCCAGCGCATCTTCTGGAAGCTCTGCTGCAGAAAACCAGTACAACACTGATAATTGTGGAGCCCTGCAGAATGGAGTTTAACTAGCGACCATGTCAGCTTCAGTACTTTACTGCTACAAATTCTGGAGTATGGAGACTTATTATAGAGACATGCTGCAGTATTCCCTCAAACGCATCTCCTCCCTTGCACAAACAACAAACTAAGAGCAGAGAAACTGACAGAGATATCGTGACTTTATAGGAAGAACAGAAAAAGCTTCCAAGTCATGCAAGAGTAGGAAATTGGCACTGCTGTTCAAATCAATTCCCTACAAAACAGGCAGCATTTCTCAAACAAAACCTCACAGCAGCACTCTGCTAGGGACCCACAAACTGTCACCTTTCCGGCAGCCAAATGATGGATTTGAACAATGCTATAGCTCAATATAACTGATATTAAATATTTCCAAGTATTTAACTATTGATAGCATTCAATTTGCCACCTTGTATTGAACGCATATAAGACACAGGTGTGAATAATTTCTCACTATTTCAGAGAGACAAGAGAGTGAAAGCTGTTAGCTGGCCAGAGATAAGCAGGGTTGAACTGAGAAAAAAGGACTTGGAAATGGGGGAAGCTTTTTAAGATGCGGAAAAGTTTTCCTAAATAAACTGACTCACATGGAGAAAGAAAAATCACAGAAAGCAGATACTTTCTTTTTCTTCAGAGTAGCAAACATACTTCATAAGGTATAATCTGTTTACAATAAAGTTTGATTTATTTTCTCCTCAAGTGATAAAAGAATTACAATTGGAATACTGTTACTATCTACTCAGCAGTACAGATCCCCCAACTTATCTTCTTCCATAAAATCAGCAATATCGATATTCAATGGACGTATTGCCACAGCAGGATTTGCAAGCGCTACGTCCATAAATATCTAGGACAGAGATGCAACAAACCAGACTTACTTAGTATCTTGTGTCCTCAGGTAAGAACATTATAATTGCTAAAGGTTAGCGATATAGGTATAAAGTAAAAGTAGACGACAACAAAAAAAGTGTTTTCCAAGTCCACAGGATTTTTCTTCAGGTTTTCCCTAGAACATTGTGTGCTGTTCTCAACAGAAGATCAGCCTGTTTGTTCACCATCAAGATGGTGGTAATGGAGCATATTATGTCATGTAAAGTTCTCGTAGCTGCACTTAGTATCATGGACAAACTAGTGGAGATCTGGCATTTTGAGTAAAAGCTATATGTTCCATTCCACAGCTACAGAACTGGTGAAAACCTCAGCTCAGGACAGCTTCAGTTTCCACTAAAATCCAGATTAAACGAATATGGCATGAACAGTATCATCCCTTGGGATAACATTATATGTGAAACAGTCGGTCCATGAGTGACATATTTTAACAGCAACACCTGGTGTAATTCATTTGGCACAGTTCAATTTACAGTGTGTATTACAGTGCGACAACCATATACGCTCCCTGTTTAGAAAGTAGGTCACCTCCACAGGCTGAGAAAAAAACGTGGATTTTGACGGGCACACAAACCCACTGTCAAAGACTGAAGCATCACAATGTCTTATTTAATTATTTTTTAAAGGTGAAACCGCAAGTGGACTAACCAACTCCATGCCAGAAAGCCTTTACCAATGGAAGCTGCATACAACTAACTTATCTCAATATGACTTCTCCGGCTAACCAAGGAAGCAACCGCAAAAATTTGTGAGCCACAAGAAATGATCGGGAAGGAAAGAAACACCATCTCGACGACAAATCTCTGTTCCTCCTGCCCGGTTCGTGCAAGAAAAAAAAGGCAAGCTTGCCTGCCA